TATAAAATATTAAAAATGAACTTATAACACACAAAAAGGGAAACACTTCTTTATTAACTAATATTTTTAAAGTGGCATTCCTCTGACAATGTTTCTAAATATTTTAATAGAAACAGGTAAATCATGTTTGCATTGACAATAGTTGTTTTATTTAATATTTTGCTATAAAGGTTTTTAAAGTTATTTTCAGTATTTGAAATGAAAATTAACTGATTTGTATTTATTTTATTTTTTATTCATATATTGCTGAATAATTTTGCAATATTGCATTTTTTGTAGGATTGAAGTTTTGACTCATCATCTTGCATTGAAGGCAATTATATTGAAATAGAGAAATCATGACAAAAAGTTAGAATTAATAAATTAATTTTTGCATTATATATAAAATATATATCCCACTAGGGATAATGGTCTAAAGGATTTAAGTGTCCTAGTGTGACACCCACTGGTGTGGTTGCCGCACCAATATGTGACGTCCACTGGTCATCGACGTCAATATATGACACTGCGCCCGTGGTCAACTCTCAGTTGTGGCGTGAAGCTGTAAGGTTTCTTTCACCAGTGTTTTGGGGTTGACTCTTTGTCACTGCCACCAGCCTGTGTCCCGGTTCGCTACAAGCTTTGTCATTCTCAGCTTGCCTCCAACGCCTGGTCACCGAAGTAACTGCTTTGATCTCAAGACTAACCTACCTACGTTGTGACTTTCATCTTAAGTAGACGAAATCAATCAGGCGTCGGGCTGTAGTGCAAGCTGAATTCGGGGTAAAGGTGATACCACACAAGTGTAAGTAAAAAAAAAAATAATAAAACAAACTCAAGAGGTTCAAATATTTTGAGAAATAACAATCATCTTTATCTGTCTGTTGAATACAGGAGTGTGTTTCTCTCCCAGCCCGTTTCTATGGATTCATGACCCTTTTTGCATTTCTTAAGCGAGTTATGGTATCTTAAATCGTCGTCAATAAAACTTGCTTTTGGTAGGAAGACTAAGTTGAGAGGACATGGAAATCTTTCAGTCAGCTCCTGCGAGGCTGGTCTCCAACTCAACTCTCCAACTTCTCAAACTAACTCCAAACTCAAACTGAACTGCAACTGACTCGAGACATTCATTTATATGGACACTGACGAAAACCCGGTGTGGGGGCCTGACGTGGTTTGAGTTCCTTGATAATTCTCAATTCCCAACAAGAATTCTCTTTGTTCCTAGGCCAGGAAAATTAATTACTTTCCATTTTTGGAAGATTAATCACTTTCCACTTTGGGGGTTCCTCCCTCGTCTGTGAGGGAAGGTCAGAGGAGAGTTATCCTCCTAGACTCTTCCTCTCTCACATTGGTATCTCATGCCAATCCCCTTAGTGGGTGTTAACAACTTCTCCATCTTTCTCATACATTCACCTCTGCCTATCACCCATGCTACCACTTGGCCAATGATCTCTCGGCAGTGTGGTTGTGGCTAGACTGTCCCTCTTAGAATTGTTACCCAGAATTTTGTTTACAAAATCCTTTTTTTTTCCTTTTCCTTCAGTCAAAACATTTACAAATCCCATATTGCCAATTAATTCTTATCACATCTTGATTTTGGGGAAACCAAAAATCCACTTAGCCCAGACCTCTATCGACTCATTAATCACTGTTAAAACCCGACACCTGGTTTCTCCGTTAGTCAACTTTTAACTGGGTGGTCGTGTTTACCTGAGAATCAAATTCTTTATTTTTCTCATGCCTTAAAATCACCAGATGCTCATTTTCGAGACGCTATGTCTGATGTCAACAGTTTGAATAAGCAATAATAATGATTCCCTTTATGATTTCCTTCTCATGCCAAGATTTGTGCATATCCTAGATGGCTTTCTTTGCTGGAACCAGGAATTAAAATTAAATGATATCTCTGAAAGATAATATCCATTCTCTGTGGTGGTCTCAAGCTGAAATTTTTTTATTGTCCCATGCGTTGGTTGGCTTTGTTTTTCTTTCAGAATTCTGTTTCGTTTGGTGTGTCACTCCCTTATCATGACATTAATTAATTTTGACAGAATCACAATCTTGCTTTTTCTTACGGATTTTCTATCTTTTTCAAAAAGTATCTTTTTTTTGTAAATAAAATAAATTCTTAATGTTGCTAAATCTATCTTTCGATATAGCTCTTTCTCGCCTTGTCTTTCCTGTTTTTAATTTCTCTGGTTAATTAGTTAGCCAATTACTATAGCTAAATAGTGTCACACTAGTGGATTGGAGTATTGGTTCATGAATTTGGTGATATAGTAATTGTGAGTTCAATCCTTGGGCTGGACAGCATGTACTTGAATTCAGTGGAAATGCGACAAAAAAATAACTGATCAATACTAAATAAGAACTAGACATGATATCCTGGGACATGGGGAGTGGAACAAGAACAGTCTACCTCTGTAGATTAAATAAAGGGTTCAGTCCAAAGTTCCTTGAAGGTTAACTGGGTCCACAAGTACCTGGTGAAAGCCAGAGGGCACAATGGCTAAAATGTTGTGATAAGAACAACAAAGATGAGGACAATAGTCCATGTGTGTAAATAATGACTCCTCATCCCAGAAATTCAGACAAATTATTAACTAAATAATTAAGCACAGGATTTAGATTAGTTTGTCTTAAATCCTTTTTCTAATTAAGTCCAATTATTAAAGTTTCCATTGAGTTGTTTCACTTCTTATAAAATTAACAATTAAGAATAACAGTTGGTTTTACTTATTGACATTTTAATTTTATTTTGATGGGATTTATCTTTTCATCTTTCATTTTTCCTTTTGTATGAAATAAAAAAAGAACAGCAATTGTTGAGAGTTTTTACCCATTGTTATTTAACTGGTTATAATTTTCAACTTGTACACCACAGTATTTTCACATGATTGTCAAAGTTTAATAGCATTGAAACTCATTTTCACTTTTAAGCTTAGTTCAGTTGTTAGAGCAATGACAAGCCACAGAGATTTTTAAGGCTTACAGGGTTTGTGTATTCTCCTCCTTGGAATCTCTGATGTTAATCACAATATGGTTATTTTCCATTTTTGTAATACTTCCATGTGTCTGATAATCAAAGAGTTATCGGTTCTTTTTTAATGAACATTTTTCTTTCTCAATGAATGTTAAGTGCATAGCTTTCAATAATCAACTCTATTTTGGGATGATGTCAATTGCTTTGCTTTTTATCTTCCTTTTCCTGGAAAAGGATTTACCAATAAGGAACAATAAGAATTAAAGATCTTTATCTCGCTTTTATTATGTTACACATCAATTTATAGAATGTGTAGTAAAATAAATCCTAAAGCACTGAAATACACTATAGTGATGTCAGATAACAATGATTGGTGGAAACTGGAAAAAGAGTTGATAAAGTGTTAAATATAAACAGATTTTGTGTGTAGTTATGAAATCACTTAAGGCATTTGATTAATATCATAGAACTCTGATTGGGTCAGTTTCAAATGAATATTAGATTTGAACCAGGCATTATCTCTCTTTTGGGAGGTGGCTGGGATCATTACCCAGCATCTAAGGGGGCTTGAGCAATTTTTAAACAGCTACCAAATCCCACTTTAAGTTTGACTATGTGTCACATTTTGTACAAGGTGAGCATACAAGTAAATAATCCCTGGTAAAAATTCAACCTTATGACCAATTAATCCAGTCTGTTGCATGTTCTAATATGATCCTTGGACTCTGTGTACAAGACACCATGTCATCAACTTTCTCTGAAATTCCTGATTTTCAAAATGAAAAAGGAAAATCTTGGAACCTTGAAATATGATCATTTAAGGTAAAATCTTAAAAAAAAACAGAGATACTGTATACCATTGGAAAGGAAATTTATTGAAGATTAATAATCTCTTAGTAAGTAAGTTCCTAAGATGTTCTGGTTTTAAGATATCTTCTATCACGTGGACTCTATTAGAGATAAAAATGCAATAGACATGATCCTACATAGTCTCTTTTTATTGAATTTGGGTCAACATTTTATAAGCTTTGAAACTTTTCTCATATCAAAAACAGTGGCTTTTTTTTTTTAAAAAGTGTTATAAAATTTCATAAAAATGTCATATGAATAATGATATCATAAGAATGGTATAAGAATGTTAGAATTTTTGTTTTTGGTGAAAGTCATTGCAAGGGGCTTCTATAAAAAAAAAAAACATGTACATACATTCTAACATTATTATTGTTTGTCATAAGTAAAACTTTAAAATTCTGTGTATGCATTTAAAGTTTGGCTTTAAAATTTAATCCAAATTGACTGAAATATCCCAAATCACATATAGAATGTATAGTGTGATATTAAATCAGTTTTTGTATTTCTCTGAAATTCTAAATATGTTTGTATGTGATTGATTTCTTTGAATCAGCATTTTCACTCATTTCAACTGGTGTAGTCTATGACTTTTTTTGTTTTCTTTGTTTTAATCCCATCCAATAATCTTAAGTAGATTGTTAAACAGAATTCATAATTTCACTCATGAGGAATATTAATTTAATGCTTAGATTTTTTTTGACAGCTGCTTCCTTTGTTAGGGATTGAACACTGAATACCATTTTTGTAAAGGGGACAAGCATAATTGTTAAGAGATCACAGTTGCATAATTTCTGATAAAACTTATAAGCAAACAGACTGGGGAATGCTTATGAAAGCACACGTTTTAACAAGCCAATTTATGAATGTATTGAGTTCAGTCTTCTCCGAGTGATCTTGTACCAGATTAACTTTAATGAATAACTACAGGTAAACATTCCTAACTAGAAATTGAACTTAAATTTTCAGTTACAACAATAGAAAATACTCATTTTATCTTCTGGGGTATTCTTTCATAAAAAACACTTTAATGATTATCAAATGTAGGAAACATGATGATGATGGTTGGAGAGTAGACTGACTGAAATGTGATAGTAACAATGAAGTGAATGAACCAAGTTTAAGAATTGACTTATTGCTACATGTTACTACAGTACTTCTAAAAATCTTCTTTTTTTTTTTTTAGTATGAAACAGAACTCAATTGCGTCCATTCAGAATTCAAAGAAGTTGTACCAAAAGAAGATCGATCCGAACTAAAACTCACAGGTAGTAAAAGAAAACAAGTATAACTTCTATCAAATTGAAATTGTTTTAATCAGTAGTTAGAGAATAGTTTATTTTAGATACAGATTCTAAATTCATACTTTTAGCAAGAGTTAATTTTTAAAAGAAAATATTTTCTATTAGGATTTTGTTAATTGCAAGTTAAAGAGAATAAATGATTTAATTAATCTATTTTTTCTGATTACATCAAAAACTGTTCAATTAATAATAGTCCATTTGCATGTACACAAAAGTTAAATCTTAGAAATACAATGTACAATTCTGATCAGAAAAACATTTTACTAAGGTTTTACTTGATAACCTACTTTTTTCTTGTTTGTTTTCCAGTGAAAATATTTCTCTATCATCCTCAGCCTCCTTCTGTGGTAAGAGAAGCTGTTGAGAAAGGTAAGTACTTTCCCATTATCAGTTTTGATCATCTTAATGAGGAAGTACAGAAAAGTTTTAACTTCATGAAGAAATTTTGAAATAAATCTTGATGTTTGATCATTTGGTTAACTTTTGGGAGGTTGGTCAAGCTTAGAACTGCTCAGCACTTCTTCATATTACATGAAAAACTTCTTAGAAATTTATTTTACAAAAAGCTTTTGATTTAATTTACTGGGTACAAAGAAAACCTAAGTTAGTCTTTTAAATATAACTTAAATCCAATCAAAAGAAATTTTGATTTGATCTGAATGAAACATTACTTTCATGATTGAAATATTTAATTCCCTCTTTTTGTTCTAGATTGCAAAAAGAAAAATTCAGCTTATCTCAGGACACATTTATACTTGTTTCCCTTGCCAACTCCAGACGACAGATTGATATTAACAAATCCTAAATGACAAAGGCAAGACATTGTGTTTTTTGTCTTGTGTCTCTTATCAGTATTACATAATGATAATGAAAAAAAAACAACTAGTGCAAAAAGTGCGTAATAGCTGAGAGATTTATTAATTGTATTTGAGATAAAAAAATTTTCTAAAACAAAACAATTTTTTCCTGCTAACTTAAAATAAATTTACTTATATACACTGACATGAAAAACGTTAACCCCAGATAACTCCATATAAATGTAATGGAAGATAGCACCAGCATCATGGAAATGATCAGACCATTATCACTTGTGCTCTGACATGTATTGTGTCTGTAAACACCAGCTAGGCTATTCATGCCAAGTCAACATAAAACAGGATGTGATAGTGGGTGCTAGATAGATGGGATATTCCATTTCTGAAATTGTAGTGGCATTTGATATCCATTAGTCTGTCACATACACACTATGAATACCTGATAGAAGGCATTACTAATCACCATGGACAGTGCAGTGGCCAACCATAGACTCTTAATGATTGTGATTAGATGCATCTGGCTAGAATTGTCTGTAATAACAAACAAACAACACTGACTAAAAATTACATCCACATTTAATGTAAGAGTTATCAGCAGGTCAGTTCAGTGTCCTTTAGCTTCCATGGGATATGGGAGCAGAAGAGCCACCAGGGTGGCCCTATTAACATAATGATACTGGACATAGCACTTCACTTGAGCTTGTGACATCACTTATTGTATTCTGGAAGACTGACAATGAGTGGTGTGGTCTGATGAGTCACAGTTTCAGTTGTTTTAGTTACGCACCCCAGTTGTCATCATGCAGGCTAATGGTGGTTTTATAATGCTGTGGGATGTATTATTTGTGTTCATGAACTCTATATACGCCAACAGTAATAGTTTATTTCAGGAGAACAATCTACTGTGTCATCAGGACCAAGTTTATGCCCAGAATTAGTTTTCAGAACTTTTTGAATAATCATGATGCATAATATGGCTGCCACATTCATTTGTCATGAGCCCAATCACATGCTTATATGATGTAGTGGAAGAATCTGATACTATAAATATCACAGAGCTGTAGACAGCTGTTGGGATGATATAGCTCAACATCGCTTCTGAAGTCATCTGACCAATTGTCATTTAATGCCATATAAAATACTGCAATTTACTAGCTTATTTTAGTTCCTACACAATACTGGGTACTTATCCAGTGATTTTTGACATGTCACTGTATATAGGTCCACTATCCCTAATCCAGTGTAGTGGTATGTGGTAAACATCTCTAGGCTGGCATTTCTTTGCTTCCAATTTTAGGATATTTTTTAAAATTTTTCTGTGAGAATGTCAGAGAGTAAAAAAAGAAAAAAAAGGAAGCATTTTTCATTATCAATAAGTCAGAAAGTTGAGTTACTACAGAAGCTTGATCGTGGTGTTGTCTGTGTGGCATCTGACTGTAGAATATGGTATTGGAACTACAACTGTGTATGATTTAAAGAAACAGAAAAACAAGTTACTGAAATTCTACGGTGACAGTAATGATAAAAAACAAATGAAAGACAGAAAAACACTGCATAAGGCAAAAAATGAAGATCTTGACCGGGTGTTTCTACAGTTGTAAAGGCAAATGAGGAGTGAATGCATACCTTTGAATGGACTGATGGTCATGAAACGTGAATGCATACCTTTGAATGGACTGATGGTCATGAAACGTGAATGCATACCTTTGAATGGACTGATGGTCATGAAACGTGAATGCATACCTTTGAATGGACTGATGGTCATGAAACGTGAATGCATACCTTTGAATGGACTGATGGTCATGAAACGTGAATGCATACCTTTGAATCGACTAATGGTCATGAAACGCGAATGCATACCTTTGAATCGACTAATGGTCATGAAACGCGAATGCATACCTTTGAATCGACTAATGGTCATGAAACGCGAATGCATACCTTTGAATCGACTGATGGTCATGAAACAAGCAAGAATATATCATAATGAACTAAACATTGAAAGTGAATGTCAGTATATGGAAGGTTGGCTGCAGAAATTTAAGAAGCAAGATGATATAAAATATCTAAAAATGTATGGTGTAAAGCCTTCAGCTGATAACTATCTAGCTGGAAATTACTTAGAAGAATTTGCCAAGGCAATATCAGATGAATAGCTCAGTCCTGAGCAAGTTTACAATGCTGATGAAACATCTTTGTACTGGTGGTACATGCCTTGAAAAACTTTGATGGCAGATGAGAGATCCCCAACAGGCTTCAAGGATGTTAAAAACACATTGACTATACTTGTGTGTGCTAGTGCAGCAGGCACACACAAGGTGAAGCTGAGAGGTATAGAAAAAAACCAGTGTCCAAGATGTCTCAAAGGTGTACACAACTTACCTGTCCATTACTCTGCAAATAAGAAAACATGGGTGAATATTTTTTGACTCGTTCAATAACCACTTCATACAGGCATCAGAAGTGCAGGGAAGCTGGTTTGAATGAAAACTGTAAGATCTTATTGTTCCTGGATAACTGCTCTGCACATCTCCCTATTGAACTTCTTGTGAAAAATAATGTTTTCATCACTTATTTTCCTCCCAATGTGACATCCATATTGCAGTCTTGTGACAAAGAAATTTTATGTTCCATGAAGACAAAGTGCAGAGACTATTTCATGAACTGCATTATTACTGCAATCCACAGAGTAGAAAAGACTAAAGACTTCCTGAAGGAATTTAATGTATGCCATGTATGTGATTTCAAGTGTATGGAAAGATCTTGAGAAGTCAACAGTAACAAATGCTTGGCACACACTTTGACCTGCAACACTATCTGATAAAGATGAACCTACAGATGAATAATTTCGAAGGGTTTTGTGTCACTAATGAACAAGTGATGATATCAAGACTCATAAGTTATGCTACAAGTATATCATGTGAAAATGTAACAAATTTAAAGGAAGAAATGATGAACATTGACAATGATGCACTTAAGTGATAGGAAAAATGTTAACATAGTGAAAAAAAGCAGAGAAAAGCACAAAGATAGTAGTAATGACAACATTGTGAACACTGGTGAAAAAATAACCATAGACAATCTGGTGAAAATGTGTGACTAGTTAATTAATGGGCTTGAACAACACAAACTTATCAGTGAGCAGGAAATTATGGCAGTTTATTCAATTAAAGAGAGATTACTGACCGAGAAACCGAATTTGATGAAGCAGATGATACTCACAGAAATGTTTACAAAGGCTTGTCATAGGAATGCATCATTATCATGGGAGTCAACATCGAACACACAGGTCCATCATGGCAACAATGATAGTGACACCAATGATCCTCCTTCTGCAATATTATTGCAGTAAAAGACAGTGTAGAGTAATATAAGAGACTTTTAGAGATGTAGCAGTTCAAAAGTGGTCATGTGCACCAGTGACAGTCCGATGACTGTCATATTATTGTTATTGTTTTTGTGATCGACCATAGTTAGTGTATAATCTGAAAAGGTTTAAAAAACGAAACACAGCAGGCTCAAGGATTAGGGACAGTGAACCTGAGTTTAGTGATTTCTGAGTTTGAATCTTTCTGTTGGAATTGATAAGCAGACATGTAAAGGACTTGGATGTTTTTAACTTCAACAATTCCTGGTCATATTTGGGCTAGATCGAGCACCAGTTACTCTGTCTCATGCTTACTAAGATTTTGCAAGAATTCCAAAGTTTATAATGCTGAAAACTTTAAACATGTGATTACACTGTCATTTAAAACATCCAAAGACTCTTCTATGGAAATCATCATGTCATTAAATTGCTCTTGTTTTCTTAATACTTTTCTAGAAGTAAAACCTAACAGATTTATTGTATCTGGTGTCATTTATTTTCAACCATCTTATCTACTCCCAGTAGGTTGACTGTTTTATTGAATTCAGTTTTGTCCGACTTGTATATTTTGAAATAAACTCTTTCTCATTCAATTGTCAGTAACTAACACAGAGGATATATTGAACAAATATATCAAAATTATAATTCACTCTAATTGTTAAATATTGAATAGGGACATAGCAAATTCTGTCAGTAAGAGAAAATAAAACTATAGTCATTTTATATTTTAGTGCCATTTGCTTTTGGATGTGACAAAAATTTGATTTTTAATAATGAGGAAAAAAGGGATTGTCAGGAATTAAAGTAAGTGTTACTGACAGAATAAGGCTATTATATGTATAATGTAAATGTTTTCTTTTTTTTTCTTCTATATTCAATATTACATTAATATTTGTTCATTGTTTGCCTAGCAGCCAGTATGACTATTTAAAATAACTGAGTATCCAAATCAAGAGAAATTAATTTGAATTTGCTGATATAGAAATCATTCGTTCAAATCTTGAATATGCATCATTTAGGAAAATCCTATTTATGATTAGCAAAAGACATGTATAGTAATATTTTTCTCCTATGATCTAGTATCCTTATCTTTATAGTTTTTATCATCATGTTTTTCACAAAATGTTTATCAGTTTTCCTTGTGCATAAGTTGCTGAATCTGACACTTGAGCACCTCACAGTATTTTTTTCACTCCTCCCTTCAAGAGGAGCAACCTACTTCAGAGATATAAAATTTGGGGGTCAGATTCAACAAAGACCCAATTTTATGCTGATTTATTGAAGTGATACAATTATGAATAAAAGACAGAAATATTCATAATTCTTGGAATACATTAATCACAGAACTTCAGATAACATTTATCAAGTGAAATCCAATTTGGTTTGTTATTATGGATATCATTGGAATTTTCAAGTGATAACATTATGACATGGCACTTGTAAGACAGTTGCTAAATAAATGTTAGGAGCACATGTGTGTGAGGTACACTTTTTTAATTTTATGCCAGTGTCAATAAAACTTCTCAGTGAAAGTAAAGTGCTGAGATGGTGAGGCTTACTGTTACTGGCATTGAATTCTGATTTCAACCTTTTCCAAAGTTTCTGACACATTTTGATAAAATCCTATATTTACTTTGTATAAATATAAACATCTATATAATAAATTCGAATGTCAGTGTGTCACTGTATCACAGTTTTTCAACTTTACTCCTAGAGGCTGTAGCCCAACATATTTTACCATTTTGGAATTAGGTCGACTCTGTTAGCAAATTAAAAAACATTCTGGGCAAGATCCAGACCTGCAATCCTGAAATTTTGGAATCCTAAGTTTTCATTACCACAATTGTTTTTGGTGATTTTTGTATGTTATTTTTTGCAACAAATTTTTGTTTTTATAACTTGGAAATAAATTTGGGGAATAATTGAAATTAATTGCAAAATCCAGTGAAAATCATCCATGAAATAAAAATAATTGTTTTTATGGAAAGTAAGGACCTACGTACATCAAACTGTCTTTAAATTAAGTAGTGGCAGAATTATCATTGAACTTCTAAAAGGTAAGCTTAAATATTAATGCAATACTTAAATGCAGTGATCAAAATTTGAATTCTGCTGTAGTTTAATGTTGCCTATCACATTTCCTCCTTCCCTATTGTGATGAAGGCCCAATCAAAAGTGCTCTGCATGAACTAGCTTAAATGCTGCCCAATAGTGCCTCTTTTAATCTAGTTAAAAAAACCAAATTCAGTTTTGAACTTATATCCGATAGTAGGAGATGCAGTTTTACCAGCTATTTGCTTAATTTGCTGCTTTAAATGATTTAATCGGTAAACAGTCATCCAGCAAGAAATTATTTTTTATATAAAAACTGAACGTAATTCTAAAAAAAAAAATTATTCTTATATGTAATTAATATTTGATTACCTACAAACATGGTTTGAGGGTTGTTTTTATATGCAGACACAAAATTATTTGGCATTTTTTAAAATGTCAAATAATTTTGTATCTGCAAAATAAAATGATAACAAGTATCTAACGCTGAAGTTTCCCTCTTGTGAATCCCTGTTTTAAATTGTCTCATGCAATCTGTAGAATATCTTTTTGGAAATCTATTTCCAGTGTTGGATGAATTAGATGTAGACTACATTGAAACATTGCTGCTTTCTTGGAATGGGGAATTTGATGAAGAAGAAAGTGAAGTTGAATTGAAGTTGAAACATGTGAAACCATTCTGGGAAGTGGTTCAGCAATTGTATGAAGAGGAACTGCTGCTTATGCCAGGAGTATCAGATTTGGACAATGAATTATTAGAGGAACTCTACAAATGGGCCACAGTAAGTTTCAATCAAGTTCCTTCAGCTTATCAAGAATAAACCTATTTAAAATTGAGTATGAAAAGAAAAACAATTAATTTGAAATCAACATAAAAGATAAAAATGTATGTCTAATTGGTACAAAGCAAAAGAAATGTTTTTTTTTACAGCTGGACATTAATTGTGCTGATTTTATATTATTGTGTCATTTTTGAAGAGATAAGATCAGGGTTAGGGTTGATTTAGCTGAAGAACTCATAAAATGTTGAAAAAAAGGTCTAGTTTTTAACACTTTTGCTGCTGTGAACATACTTGTATGTTTTTAGGAAACTTACATTGCCTACTAATATATATATATATATATATATATTCAAGACACTACCTCTTAGTTCAATTTTCAAACCAGCATATATGTATAGCAGCATACAATATGCCTTGGTTTGGGACATATTTTTATTATATTTCGGTTTGGGTGTGTTGTTTAGTTTAGACTGTACAACAGAGTATTCGATCAAAAGTAAAATAAGAAATCACCATATGCAACTTTCTGTTATTTCCAGTAACTGCCAATTTTCTATTTACCTAAAATGGGCCAGTACAGCCAACCAACTATGCTATAACAATACAGCAGTGAAAGTGTTAAAAGAAAAAACTAGTAGATTGTTTCTAACAATTTTAATAATGAATTGAAATTACTTCCTCACCACAGAATCCAAACCTTATTGTAACATTATATCATATACACCCAAACGCAGTTATATTTTGGATCAGTTATTTGTTTTTTTGAAGAAGTTTGCTGTGTGTGTCTAATATTCAAGAAGAGACAGAATTTCTGTACCAGAATCCCAAAATGATATTTTAAGTAATCATTTGGTAGTTTTTTTTAATCATATCAGATTGATAATTTTAACAAATTTTGTTTTATTGAATCAGTTTGAAAATCTCTGGTTAAAGAAAGATTATCAAACAGCCAATTAAATTAAAAATATTTTTCATTTTCTTCAGTGTTTAACTTTCAGGGTTACAAAACTAAACAAAATAACATCATTACAAGAAGCTTTCAAGTTCTTTCCTTTAATATTTAAGAAAACAAAAATCTTTATTTATTATTCAGGCCAGTAGATAAAATAAAAGTACTATTTAAAAAAAAAAAATAAACGGAGGCTTGAAATAATAAAAATCTGTTGAGTAATAAATAAAAATCCATTACTTCTTTAGAAATTGCTTTGTTTATACTTTGGATATGAAACTGAGCAGTTATGAATTTTCAAAGATCTGGACAAGCAAAAGTGTATTTAAAAAGCAAAATAGTACCTTGCTTAATCAAGGTGCTCTTTGTAGCCAAGATGGTTAAAACACGTCGGCTATAACAATGGTTTCTCCTGAAAAGGAAAACGCAGGGTCAAATCCCACTGGTGGACACATTTTTTCTTCAATAACAATTCTCAAATGTTAAAGTAGATGAAATAAAATACTGTTTAAAAAAAGTAAATAGAGCATCTACTGAAATATACATATCCACTAAAAAAATAACATTTAAAGTAATAAAATACCATACTGTTAGCATGACTCTGAGTTTCATGAAACTCAGGTTTGTGCTAGCAATGAGGGATAATATGTACATTTATTAATATATATATATATATATATATATATATATATATATATATATATATATATATATATTTATATAAAATATAGTTTTAAGGTGTGCTATATTTATGGGATAAAGTGCTCAATATCAGGGATAGAGCATATGTAAATGTGACGTCCCCCGGTGTCGCTGCACCAAATGTAACGTCTGCCTGGCCGCGCCGTCCTGGTCGCGGCGCCAATTGTGATGTCACCCCGTCTGTCTCCGCGCCGTCACCGTCCTATCCTGTCCTGTGACGACCAATGTGACTTGGTATTGGCACCAAATGTGACGTTCTAATCTTTTACTGATTCGGATGGGAATCTGGTTAGATTCGGTATCAGCCTTGTCGTTCCCAGCTCGCCTCCAATGTCTTGTTACCGAAGTAACTGTTTTGATTTCTAGTCTAACCTACCCACGTTGTGATTTGATCTTAGGTAGACAAAATCAATCAGTCGCCGGGCCATAATGCAAATCGAGTCCGAACAAGGGTAATATCACACAAGTATATGTAAAAGAAAGTAAAGTAATAACTCAAAGTTCAAATGTGTTAAAAAAGGATAACAATATTTTATATCTGGTTGCTGAATACAGGACTGCGTCTTTTCTCCCAAACCGCTATATGGATTCGTGACACTTTGTGTTTGTCAGGCGAGTCTTAACATCTTAAGTTGTTTGTTCTTTAAGAAACTGGTTCTTGGTGTATCTTCAGGCGATATTCATAAAACTTGTTTTGGTAGTGTGAGTCTAAGTCGTTCTTCAAAAATAAATTGTTCTTGGTTAGAAGTTGAGGTCGAGAATGCGCAAATCTTATGTCAGCTTCCTGCGAGGCGTCTGTGAGCTCTCAGCTCACTGCAACTGCTTGCCTGTCTGTCTAACCCCAACTGCAAACTTCACTGTGAACTGCCTTCTTACTCGTTGCAACTCTGCTTATATGGACGCTGACCAGAACTGGGGTGGGCCTGTCGGGGTTTGAGGTTCCTTGATAATTCTAAATCCGTATTAAAGGTTTCTTTGTTTTCGGCCAGGAAGAATTATTATTTCCATTTTTGGAAGTCTTTCGTCCTCCCCAATTCTTCCTTTCTCATTTTGGTATCTCACCCATACCCTCAAAGGGTGTCAACGGGTTTCCCCTCTCTCTCACAGTGGCATCTCACACCGATCCCTTCAGAGGGGCATTAACAGGCTTCCCCTCCTTCTTCACATGTTTATTTTCAACTGCTGCTCATGCCACCATTCAGCCAATGGCCGCCCAGCAGTGTGGGTGTGGCCAGACTGGCTTCGGTTTAAAAAAAATCTTGCTCAAAGAAAAAAAAAAATTATCTTTCTTTTTTTTTTTTTTCTTTCTTTTCTTTCCTTTCTTCTGCCCGACAACAACCCAATACGACCCGTAGTGAGGTCTCTTAATCTCAATTTTATCCTGAATGTCACCTGGGATTCATCACTCTGGACCTTCGCCAAACAAGTGGGTGGTCATCCGGCGATATCCACGTTCCAGTCAATTATTCGTTCTGATAAAATAATTTTCCTATCGTGGCCAGCTTCGACATAAAACAGGTGTCTTTTTCCAAATGATATGGAGGTGGTCCAACGGACATTTTGGTTTCGGTCAGAGCATGACCTAATTATCATTATCTCCCAGTTTCTGTTTCGTAGGCCACTTGACCAACCTGAAATTTTCATTATCATTGTCATGGCAGGCGGCTATCATCCACTCGGTGCGTCGTCATAAATCAAATTATATCCAGTGTCTTACTTCCTCGATAATGAAAATCTTACCACTTTTCTTTGTTAGAAAAATAACATCGCTTAGTGTCCATTTTGTGATGGCTTCTTATCACCTAAATTTAATTCTCGCCTTTTCTTTCTTTTTTTTCTTTCTCGCAACCCTAAATAGTGTCACAAAATATGAAAGTGAACATTGAAGTCAACACTCAGAGGTGACAGGCTGTATCATCAAGCGGCCTGTCGATTGCGTCTAGCATGAAACTATATGATTAAAAAAACTACCAAATGATTACTTAAAATATCATTTTGGGATTCTGGTACAGAAATTCTGTGTCTCTTCTTGAATATTAGACACAAACAGCAAACTTCTTAAAAAAAACAAATAACTTATCAAAAATATAACTGCGTTTGGGTGTATGATATAATGTCACAATAAGGTTTGGATTCTGTGGTAAGGAAGTAATGTTCACTTTTATATATATATGTATATGTATATATTAAAAATTGCTATTTGCTAAGACAACTCAAAAAAAAAAAAGAAAGAATTGGTTGAACTGAAAAATTTTTGTTTTCTTTTTAATCTATATCTATTATTTAGTATATTTTATCCATATTATATGTGTTTATTAAAGTTATTTATTCCAGGAACTGCATTGATAAGTTATGTATTTATTCCAGGTGAAACCATGCATCAACCAAGTGAATTTGGCGAGTTGTTGTGTAATGCCACCAGAGTTAATAGAATTTGCTAAAGAATCTGAGATCCAGTTACTTACTCATAGTGACCCAAAAGGTGAGTAGAGTGAACTTTTGTATTTCTTCCTTACACTTGCTCTTTTATCCTTGAATTATTTCTGATTTAAGACCAATCAAAACTTTACAAGACCACCAATAATTTTAATAGAGGAAAATATCTATACTTTTCTTATCCTAGTTTGTATATCCGATCATTAAAATTTTCTACCTTGTATTAGATATGTCTGGTTTTTAGCTTTCTTCGAGCTGGAATCAGTTACACTTTCTGGCCAAGAAACCTACATAATAATGCACTGACAGAAAATAAAATTGCAACAATTTGAAGGATCTGGATACAGTATAGAGATCTTACTCCAGTTCTTCATTCAGGATATGGAAATCAGTGAAACTAACTGGCTGAAAGGCAACGGCTTCTTGATCTGCTTTCCAACAGGACCATGCCAATGATGAGAACCACTTTGTTTTACCAATCATAGTGATAAAAAACAGCGTGGAAAGGCAGCTCATTTCTGAGAAGCTGACATGAAATAATGGAGCAGGTAACCAAGTAACATTTCAAGATGGTAAATGGCTCCATTTTCTGATCCTACATTTACATTGGTTTCATCACTGTCATAACATACAACGAACCGCTGGGTTAGATTTTTCTCCACCAGAAACTCGTGAAAAGTTTTGGCAATCTGCTTTCCATGTCCAGTTTTGAGAGTCACATGCATGAGATATTGATTGCCAGGCTCAGCTGATGATGACAAAATGACCTTCCACCATCATCCTCGAACTCCATTTATTGGTGTTCTCATTCTTTATCATCACACAAATGGTGGTTTTCTTACCATCAAAATAGTGATGTTATATTTTCAAAACTAGCTATCTGAATTTCTTGCTTCTTCAATCTGAATTATCGTCAACATAAGGAATATATCCAGCTACCAGATGTCTTTGATCAAGATGTCTGCTGGCTCTGTTCGCATCATGCTTCTTAGTGTCACTTTGCCCCACATCATCACTTTCATGTCAATTCCTGCAATTTTCATTTTCCTATCATCTCGATGATCAAGGAGGAACAGCACCTCATGTTTGGGGACATTTATATCACAATTACAGGTGATATCCGTCACACTTCTTAACTTTGCACATCCAAATAGGAGACACAGGCAAGAGTAACAGCTACAGCGCCTTCATTTCTTCTTAAAATGCAGCTTTTTTGCCCACATTCTTGTTCTTATTAAATTCCTCTACTGTACAATTTTCTCACCCTTTCATTAATAGTTTTCTGACTAAGATGAGGAACACTGTCTATCTCCAATTGCTTTTTCCCATATTTCTGAACATTCCTGGGCAGCCATCTTAATAATCATTGAGACATCTGCAAACTTTCCTTCATCACTTTTATATCATTAGCAGTTCTTTAACATCTTGCCTTTTGAGCAAAGTGGAAGAACTGGAAGAACATTTGCAGAACCAAACATGTATATCTATGACTGCCCTCATTAATATATTAGCAATCTCAATAGCAAATTGGTTAGTGAATAAACAAAATTGAATATAAACATTATACATTTGTACAATTACACTGCACCAACATAAGTAAATTCTAAAATTTCAGTTGCAAATGCTGCAGGCTTAAGCTCAACCTATCAGCTTCACATGTGTCATGGTGTCTTTAATATGTATAATGAACAATCCATGAAGAGTTCAGCTTTGAGGAAAATTTCACTGCTCCCTACTGGCTGGTCTTTTCAGAAAATTGCTATATATAATGGTTGTGCTTTCATGTTGAAAACAGTGATCAAATAGACATTCTTGAACTTGTAGATCATGTTATGGATAGCCATGTAATTCAGATGTAACCCTTACCCTCTCTACACACATACCACTCTCTCTCTCTCATCTCTGTTTCTCCTTTTCTTTCTTTTCCCTCCTTAATTGAGGCCAGAGTGTTGTCTCAATAGAGTTGATACACATTTCCCAAAATCTTGCAATATTGGGACTGACAGCAAAGTCATGTCTTATTGATGGGAAATGAATAGGCTGGGGAACTGAATCTTAGCTTAGTTAATTCTGGCTTTGATTCTCCTTGGAACAGTTCTTAAATTCTTTCTATTATTTTATATCTTTTTTTCATTTTTTTTTTCTCATTTAACCTACTCTCCTGAGAATTTTAATAATTATTATCCAATTAGTAGTCCCTCCAAATCGCCATCCAGTAATTTCATGCAATTAAACGTTTAAACATGACCAGCGCCCTGTTACATAACAATGAATGTGTTACAAATCTTTATTTATATAAGTACATTCCAAGAAGCAATAAAATAAACCTAGCAAAAACTGCTAGTGCCATAGCTTATAAAATACCAATAATAGGAGAGTCCATTTTATATTCAATAGACATGTCTGCTTTACTATACAACACCATATATCAAATGTGGAGGAGGTGAATAAAAATCAAATGCTTCATAATTTAAAAATTTCCAGTGATGATTTAAATTAAGTCAAATATATTCACAGGAATATTTTTTTAAAGTCATTAGTATATGACTTCTACCCATCAAAAATAAATCTAATTAACAGAAAAGTAAGTTAACCACGGAGGAAATTGGAGAAGAAAAATAAATAAATTAAAAGCAGGCGATTTCAAATAAATTTAAGTATACGGGCATTAGAATCTCATCATGATTGAAAATAGTTTAAGAAATGCTGATGTAAACAAACCTTTAAATTTAAAAAATCCAGTTTTTCTCAACCATTTAACCTACTCTCCTGAGAAGTTTCCCACCAGCATAACATAGCTTCCTTTTCTATAAATATTTTCATGATAATTGTTCTGATGAATTTTCCTCTTTGGTTTTATGACTTCATATATTTAAGCATAGTACTAGACTGGCAGTTAAGTCTCATCATTTTACTGTTGAAGTTGCTAATTGTAACCATAATTTCTATGCTAACAGTTTCTTCTCTTGCATTTTTCACTTGTGAAATTCTCTTCTGGCTTCTTGTTTTCCTCACAACTACAATCTTCAAAAATTTAAATGCAATGTCAATTGCCATCTTCCATCTCCTTAATACCTGTTCTTTTATTGTTCTCTCTCCTCAGTAATGTTTTCTCAGTTTCTTTCACTCTCTCAGTAACCCTTTGTTTCTTAGTGGATTTATCACCTTGTTTGGGGTGAAATGATTAAAAAAAAGAAAAAACTAGGAAGTGACATCTTCCAGAGTGTTTTCACCTACAATGTACAAACCCAATCCTTGGCATCATAACTCTTGCTTGCTTTTGATATTTGTGGAGGAAATGTAAAACAGTGCTCTTTACCTTCAATGTGTTAATAAACACATTCTGCTACAGCAAGGCAATGTGCTGTTGTGCCTACTTAATGCCCATATTACTTAACATGTACAAATACTTCCATTTTGAATACCTATGGAATGTGATGGGAGAAAATTCAAGATGGACAACACCTTGATAATTTGTCATCATCAGTCCTCTAAATTTTCAATGCATTGATTTTACCAAAAATACAAACAGAGAAATAAAAAAGATTCTCTATAACAGGGGCTGGCAACCTTTTGCTATGTACCAACTTAGGGTTTTAAAATCATTCAGTGTGCCAACAGCATATGTATTTTTATACAAGTCAAAGTCAATATACCTGTTCTACAATATATTTTATATAGTAATATATAGTATATATTAAAATTGAAACGGCTAAATATCTTAGTGTTGTAGTAGTTATTGGTTTGACGTTGTGATGTCATTTGCGGCTGCATACCATTGGAAATTGCTTGGTCTTAAACCTGCTTTGGAGACATTTTCTATTAAGTTTATTTGCTTTTGTTTGTGAGGTTTTTATGACTATAAACCACCTTGAAAATGACAGTGTGATTCAGTTTACTGTTCTTCAAACATAAAGTAACTGTATATCAGATTACAAGATATAGAATTAAAAAAAATTTAACCTCTGCATTACTTGTACTTAATACTTTATCTGTGTAGTAGACATTCTTTTCTCATCTCAACTGAATATTTGTTGTATATGAATAGAAATAAGGTTTTGCTAAAACAGAAAGAAAGAAAATCTCATTATCTGCTCCAGTTTTGTGTCCTGAAATGTCACATCATTTCAATTGTAAATACTTTGTGTGTTCAGGAAATGTTTTTAATTTGACAGTAAAAACTCATTGTAAAATTTCCTTCTTATCTGAACATATTATTGCTAATGTCTTCACAATCCCTGTCCTATTATTAACCGACAAACATAAGTACAAATTTTGACCTTAAAACATTAAAAATTAAATAACTTAAGCTGAAGCTACAGATAGCTTTTAAGCTGCCTATTTTTTTTTTTTTTTTTTATCTTTAAATGCTTTTTTAGGATTTGGTATTTAAGTTATCTGTTGCTTGTCTCAATGTTCTGTTTTACCAATGGAAGAAATATTTTTAAGTTGCCTGAGGTTGTGAGATCAACAATTTCTACTATTGCAGACGTTTTTAATTACAAGATTTTGGATCAGTATGTTTTTGAACTTTTAACTTGAAATATGGAAATTTAGAACAAGAAAATAGTTTAAGGCTAAAATTTTCATCCCATATTAAGGGAGCTTGCTATGTCATGTAGCATCTTGGCAACAAATGCTACAGAAAGTTGAAGTTCTTGTTCCACTACCATTGTCTTTATTCCTACTCTCACCCTAGTACATTTTTGTTGGCATCATCATCAAAGTAATACTTGTCTGAGATTGTGAGTTAAAAACAATAAAAATGAAGATAACCAATGGAAGAATTAATGAAAACTAAAATAGAATTAAATATGCTGCCACCAGATTCTGAAAGAAATATAAAGATATTTCCTTTGTTATATTCTGAAAATATTTTCTTTTTTAATAATCAAAAACAGTTTTTTTTTCATGAGACCTGAATTTTTTTTTTCCAGATCTTTTCCCAAGCAAAACGTTACAAGAGGTCATAAGCAGTTGCAGTACAAAGTATGATGGCCAGAATTGGACCACAGAATGGGCAGTATGTTATTCAGTGGTAGTTAAATGCCGGGGGATCATCCAGAAAAAAGGGAATATGGTCAAGGCTAGACGACCTCCACGACAAGCTTTACTTGAAAATGAAGCAGGCTGTTCAGACTCACATTGACATAAAAAAAAAATCAAATCAAGAGCTAATCAGAAAGAAAAATGAACCTAATAGAAAAAAGGGAAGTGAAATCTCTAAACTACTTTCTAAAAGAAAATAATGAAAGGCTTTGTTCTTAGAGTTAAAAAAAAAAAAAAACTGATGGTAAGAAATCTGAAAAACATGATTGCTTCTCTTTGTTTGAATCATATGACAAAATTTCAAATTCCTTTTTGAACTTGTTTAAATGGAGTAAAAAAAAATGCAACCAAAATACAAAAAAAAACCCCTAAGTTTTGAAGTGTGGATAAAATAGTGAGAGGTTTATACATGGATGTCTTGTTACTGCTGTAAACCTTGGCAGTGTGATATTCACACCTGCTTAACTGTTTTTATTTTCTCTTTTAATCTAAAAACCCAAAAAATACATTAAATGCTAAACAAAACAATTTTCATTCTCATTAATTATTCATGAGAAACTCTATGCATCCAATCAATCATTCTCTTTCTCATATATATATATATATATATATATATACACACACACAGAGAAATCAATGTCAAAATATACAAATTCTGATATTAATGTATCCTGGTGTAAACAAACACTTAACTTATTAATCAATTTTTTTTTCTTTTGGAATTTCAATATGACTGCCTTAATAGTTGTTATATTTGAATAAGGAATCCATACACTGTAACAAGTTTTATGGGACAGAGGTAGCAATATATAAGGAAAAAAGCAAAAATAAATGATTGGAAAAAACTGAAGGTTTTAAAGTCCTCTTCAATTAGGTTCTTTAAGCATAGCTTTGCTTTTTATATTAAACCATGGCTTTTTTACTTGATAATCTGCAATGAATTTTGTATAATGTTAATGATAACAAAATAGTAAATTCAGTTAAAAAAGCAAATTAAGTCTTTTTCAGGGTTGATTTTGTACTCCTAAAATTCACAATATTCTGACAATATATAACAAACAAGCAGAGGAAAAATACACTTTCTAAAAAATATTTGTATGTTACTTATCTTTTGAAAGTGTAATTTGCTTGTAAATAAACATTTTTAATAACTTGCTTAACATTGAGGAATCATCTATAAAAGAGCTGTTTCATGTAACTTGTGAGATTATTGATCAAATTTATTCAACAAATACATCAAACTATTTAATCATTTAGATGGTTACATATGGACACAACAAATTTTGATGGGAGTTTGGAAAACAAAACAAAAATGAAACATTGCTTGTATTCTAGTACCAAATATATTTAAACTTTTATACAAATGTAAAGTATTGATTTTTCTTAGCATTATTCATTGAATTTACCACACTTTCACCATTTCTTTGCTTTTAGCTTCACTAATAAACTAAATATTTCTGGTTGTAGGGAAAACATTTGATTTAACCCGTGAACTTTGCAATTTTTGATATGCAAATTGTTTGAATAATTTTCAATATTCACTCTGTATTTTATACATTAAAGATCAGGAAGAATTGGATTGTCAATGTTTAGGACAGGACCTGCATAACCTGTAGTACCAGTTTATTAGTATAATATGCTGAAAAGGACATACACTGCCTAACGTGTAAGTAAAACATGGCTGTTCATATGGGCAACTTTGTACTGGCTATTTGTTGCTCTTCATTGCTAACTTCTAAGGGCACAATTCTGAAATAGTGAAATTTACCCAAAATTTTCAGAGTTTCCTGACTAATGATGAGATCTCAGGGTTCAACAGGTAAATGCAAATCTTACAAGATAAGGCTATGATATTTATAAAGTATAATTTTACTAAGGGAAAAGATTGCAAAATTTATTATAGAGAAGCATTGTAAATGAGGTAAAAAGTGGTCAGGAATTAAGGCAAGTGTTACTGACAGAATAGGGCTATGAGATATTTATTTGGACCAATATCCTCATCTTTGTCATTTTAATCACAATGTTTTAATCAATGCATTCTGCAGCTTTCCTTCACTGTGGTACTTATTTATGCCCTCCACCAATTTGTGAGATTGTTCATTATTCTCTTCAAAGCTCCCTCAAGATTATAAAATATGGTGTCAAGCTGAGGAAAGCCAGTAATGGCATTGGTTAAAATATGATCCAAACAACAAAGATAAGGAGACTGCTTTGAATAGAATTTATTACAATAAAAATTAAAAAAAAAACTGGAAGAGATTTGCTAGAGAGTTGTACAGGAAGCCATAAAAATGTTTGGGGTTACAATTTTTGAGGGCATATAAGACCCTACATAGGATATCTCTTGAGGCTTATATGTAAATTTGAGGTACCTAGCTGGCTAATCCATACTGTATAATTTTATTACTTGTACCTAACCAAACTCTATATTACTGTAATATTAAATGTAAATTGTTTTGGATGTGGTTGGGTTTCATGCCATCAAATATGTTAATTTAATTCTTTATTAACACTACATATAATAGTCATGTCTTTTTAGTCACTAATGGTTACATTGAGTCCTAACCACAGAACATTTCGATCATGTTGAAACTTTTCAACAACATACAAACTGTCAAAATTTGTTCAAACAAATTTTTACTCAAAAATTGCATAATTTGGGCTTTAATCATGAACTTGTCTTCTACAACCAGGAGTAGTTATTTTGTTAATGCATAAATTAATGAAGGAAAGCTAAATAAAGGAAGGGGAGGGGGGGAATAGTAGTGAAGTTAAGAGAGTAGTAATAAAAGTTACAATATATATATGTGTGTGTGGGGGTGTTAATTTTAACTACTTCTATGTAAATATATATTATTATTTCTCAGATTTTTATATTCTTGCATAATAACTTAATTTTTGTTTATGCATATTTATGGATATATTATTTCAGGCATATAGTCATGTGCTTGTTTATATATATGTGTATATGTGCCTGCACCCCCCCCCCCATATGTTTTCATATCCAAAGGTGAAAGGAGAGTAAGGAACCTAATGGTTCTTCTTTCTGTTCTTTTGTCTTGAATTTTTATCTGATTGTAATAATTTACATCAATGTCCCGGTTCATTTCTGATATAAAAAAATATTTTAAATAAAATACCATATTAAACACTTATAAAGGTTGCAGGAACAACTGAGAAAATATCTGATTTAAAAAAAAAAAAAATGTGCTCCTACATGTCGACTAAATAAAAAAAAATAATGAATAAAAAATATTTTTGTCATCCTATATATATATTATATTAGATGAAAAAGAAATCTAATTGTAAAAAGTGAGTAGAGATAATGAAAGTATTTTTTATAAAACAGTACAAACTGACATTCAACAGTACTTGTTTTGAAACAAGCTGGAACATATTGGGTGTGTTCTGAAGGCACCCCAACATGGAATTATTACTACTCCAGTACAACACAGCTTAGGGTTACTACTATTTCACAGCATAGAATATAAACACAGAACTATACTAACTATACTGACAACAAACCCCTTGAAAATGGCTAAAGAATTGGCACTTGGATCAGTAATCACTATGGACACTTCATACACACTCTTAATCCTTATAAAAGAAAAACTGTAAAGACAATAGAAAAACTGAATAAAAATAAATTAAAAAAAAATTTCTTGTTAGATTCAATACTCCAAGTAATGTGTGTGTGTGTGTGTGTGTGTATATATATATATATATATATATGTTTCCCACTGCTTGATGCTACTTTCATTCATATAGCAGTTATCAGACACAAATTAAAAACTGTCCTGCTTAATGCTTCTTTATTTATAGGCTGCTGGCAAGATAATGGAGTAGTCCATTTTGATGTCGGAAAAATAAATCAATAGCTAAAAAAAAAATAAAAACTGAGCCTGAATAACAAAAAATATTAAATATGGTTCTCTCAAAATATTATTAGTAGATAAAAGAAAATAAAGGAGTTCATCCAGAAATATATTGAATAAATGAAATTAATGGTTCCATGCTGACAAAAACAAATATCCATTGAATGAGATTGATTGAAATGTTGAATGAGATTGATTTTGGTAACTGAAACCAATCCTTATATAAATGCTACATTTTTTTTTCCATTTATCTTTATTATTATTTTTTATTTATTTTTCCCACATGAAAATGAACTACTCCATTATCTTACTAGTAGCCTATAAATAAAGAAGTGTTAGGTTGGACAGTTTTAATTTGTTCTTGACTATTGCTATATACATGAAACTAACTAGCATATGTGAAGAATAAATATATAATTATACTTAATATAAATTTTAGCTGTTATTTTACACCAAGCACTTTTTCATTATTACTTCCAGCACTTACTGGACACTATTTTATATATAAGTAAATCCACTTGAATCGATCTGTCATCCCCTGTACCAGCAATACCAAAAAACATGGTATTGTCACTGATCTTCATGGCCATTGCATGTAGACATCAGCAAGCTGGGATTTAGCTAGATTTTATGGGGGTTTCATTTAGTAGTAATTATGATTCCCACTGAGAATTTAGGTATAAAACTCAGCAGGGTATGGTAACTTTTTTGCCTCTGCTGAAAATCAATTTCACAAAAGAAACCAACAAAATAAAAGAATTTGAAGATACATTTGAGAGTAAAAAGAATTCTTATCCTTTCTGCTTGGTTGATAATTTTTCAGAAGGAAAATTTTTCTAGTAGCAATTGGTAGTAAAATAAGGGACCTTGATCTTGGCGCTGTATTCTTGTCTATATGTTAGTCAGTAGCAGCAGATGAGTGACTTCAGGAATTATCCTATTATTCTCGACATCTTTCTGTCCATCACATTTATATAAGGACATTTCGCACATCTCTGAAATTGATTTATTGCATATTTTTCAATAAGACATTTATATGACCTTTTTTTCCTCAGTAACATATGGCCGTCTTTGGAATATGGTCAGGTTGAATCCTGAACTGGAATTTTTGCTAATAGCGAATATAGCAAACTTTTCCTTGTAAATTGAGAAATTTTAAAAGCCCATTTGTCTATTACCCAGGAAGCGAGTGAGTAGTTTGGGGAACAATCTAGTCTTACTAAAT